GGCTTAGGGTGAGATACTCAGTAACAGAAATGAAAACACTACTCATGTGGTAAATTGCGATGGGGTTCTCTGAAGAAAAATACTGTAAGATTGTGTCATTAAGGGCTGTATATTGATGCATCTGCCTTTGGGGTCAAGTTAAAGCTGTACAGACAGCCCGTGTTACAGTTCCTCCTCAGTTCTGAGTGATGCAGATTAAACAGTGTTCTTTTGCAGTAGAATTTGGGGGTGTTGTATAAATGTATGCCACAAGGAAGTCAGTAAGTGACAGCAGTTTAAAGATCTGCTCAACAGAAAAGTAAAAGAAAAAAAAGCAAATTGAAGCAAAACCACCAAACAGTTGAAGAACATACCAGTTCTGTCTGGATTTAAAGATTAGACATAGATAATATCAAACAGGAGGAAAAAAAATCAGGTGCTTACAAGACACTCAGCACCATGTCTGAATATAAATGATGAAGCTGACTTAAAAACTGAGGTGCTTCTGTTGGCTGTTACTAACTGTAGTAACAGTCAGATGGGGTAGCAGTGATGGTGTGAACAAGCACCTTAGTCCTCAGGTGTTCTACTTGTACTCATCAATTAATTGGTTAACCTATGATTCAACATATCCAAACCACTGACAAATGCTTGTGAAGTATTTCAGCGCTGCTGAAGCACTTGGGCATTCACCGCAGGCAACAGGAGGAAATTTTGCCATTGAGTAGCTCCTGGGCTGGGCAAGACCTCACCTCCTCTGCTTCCCTGTGCTGTACCATCCTTTCCTCCCAATCAGCATGCAGATTGTATTTTTCAGGTCAGTACCTTTCTCCAGTCCCCCTGCTGCTGTCTTCTGAGGTCCCTAATCACAAATGCATCTAATTGGAGTTATTCTGGGACTTGTTATCCTTCATGTCATTATTTTGACTTCTCATGAATCAGGGTGGCTTGAGAAAGGGGATTTCCTCACTGTGGCCCTGAGCTGGCAGGCAGAGCTCTGGTGCTGCTCTCCTCAGGAGAGGGTTTTCTTTCAGTGCCCTGACAGGTGCCTGTTTCTGTCCATTGCCAACCTCTGTAAAAAGCAATTGACAGCAAAGGTCAGCTTGGGTTGCTGCAAGGCAAACTCCAGGCCCCTTCTTCCCTGTGCTACTGGACAGGTGAAAATGTCATCAGTCCATTGGCAATGATCTGTGAGTTTTCTCTGAGATCCCTGTGCTGATACTGAAGAGTGACCTTTTTTTGCATACTACTCAGAATAGTGGAAAAGGAAGAAGTTGCTTGGGTAGGGAAAGAATAGAAAATAGATTGGTCAAACAGATGAGGTTGAATGGATGAGATGTGTGCCATCATGAGTTGTGTTCCGTAATCCAGAGTGAAAGCAATTATTAGCAAGTACTCACAGCAGGACATGAGTTATGAAAATTACCTTGTTGCTGTCTTTTCCTCTTCTGAATCCTGACTCTACTCTAAGGCATCTCATGAAGACCGATCCCAAGAGGTTGAGTGCACAGAGAGGTCCTTCAGTGAGTAGTGAACATCAATGCTTTATTCCTGTGCTGTTATGTACCTCTGTATGCTGTGTACTTCTGGGAGCAGAATTCTTTGGAGAATCTAAACTCCCTTGTAATTCCAGCACTGTCTTTGAAAATTTCTCTAATGCTACAAGCAAGGGTACTCTTTGCTAACTCAGAGTGCTGAGTCAAAATGTCAGAAGGGCATTTGTGTTCCTGTCTTTGACTGCCCATGGTTTTGGGGTGTCCTTGATGATAAGCATCCCCTGGGGGGCCAGAGCCACGGGTGTATATTGTTTTGGGTATTCACAGGGCATACTCTTTCCTTACTGTTTGCCCCCCTAAGTTGCAAATGAAGTATAGAGAGGCCTTGCCAGAAGGGCACTGCAGGATCCATCTATATCTTCACTGTGAAATGGGGATTGTGCTCCTTTCCTGTCACGGTGAATATAACTATTCAAGGAAACTGGACTTTATAATTGTTTCATCTACATGCAAGCTATGTTGTTTTCACTGACCTTCCCTGTTGCCTGTATGACCCTTACTACCCCTACGGTCTGTGAAATATAAACACAATTATCTGTGCATGGAGACTTTCCCATTTCCACTCAGGACAGGTACAGCAAGTGGCAGTGATCCCCACTGCTTTATGTTCCCTTTTATAGGCAAGGCTGCTGTGACTCCAAATCATTAGGCGCTGTGTGGGAGAGACACAGTAAAAATTACCTTACAGCCTCCGAGCTGGCAAAGGCACCAAATCAGTTGTCAGCTATAGCAGGAAAAGAAGGTTATGGGAAAAATAAAACAAAACAAAAAAACCAACCCAAGAGTAAATCAGAACAATCAGTCATGTCTGAGCGAGATCTGTGCACATCCTTTTTTTTTTTGGCCAGGCTTTGACAAGCTGGAGGAGAGCTACTGTCTCCACTGCTTCCCCACAGAAACTCCCAAGCATGGAGAATCCTCTTTCTTTCTGCAGCAGGAAGCATATTGTGTATGTGTATATGCATGCAGGCATGGGGTTTTTTTTGACTAGCTGACACTGCAAAGAAGCTGGGTTACAAACCAAAATTATGCATTGTACTTGGAACTCCTGAGCTGTGGGCAGTGTGAGATCATGAAATGAATGTGGCTGAGCATCCCCTGTGCATCTTGCTGATAATCAAGCTTTTAAAAAGCTTTGTGAAAGAGCTGAGCTGAATTCTCTAACTCAAGCTTGTTGAATGCCATTTCCCAATACACTTGTAGGTGGCAAAAATGTGGAAAACCTGACAAAGGATTAATCTTCTCCAGGAAGAAAATTTGTTATTCCAGATGTATAAGATATACAGAGCTCTGCATGACTCATAGGATGAGTGAGCAGGCAAGTAGGAGAGAAGGGTTCTGCTGCAGTGGATAAAACTTGATTTCTTCTTAAATAGAACAATTTTGTATTGGAATCTTTAAAATAAATCCAAGCTTTTCAATCCCATTTTTTCTCCTCTTGGAATGGAATTTTTCAAATAATTACGTGGTTTTTTATTGTGGCCTGTGTTCCTGACATACCTCCTGTTTCATCTACACAACCCATGGCTAGTTAACTGAAAATGATAATTTATTGTTATTTATTATTTTACCCTTTCATTCAGCAGTATTCTGTTAAGACATTTTGCACTGCAAAGTTGTGTTTGAGTTTTCTATGGTCACATTCATCACAGGATTTACATCTTTGCAGCGCTCCCTTCTCCAGCCTAGCCACTGTCTGAGTGTGTCAGAGTCACTCGCTGCCCTCTCCTCTCACAGACAGCCCATGGAAAGGCGAGATGGCAGAAGCTGGACGAACTCTACTTCCCTTTCCTGGTCATCCTTTATTTGTCTATCTCACCAAGGGTCTTTGACACTGAAGAAACAAAGAGTGGAGGCTATTGCCCAAGGGGTTTGCATCTAAGCAGATGTTAGAGCTGGGGCTTCTTGAAAATTTCCAGATGAACAGCTTCTCAGTGGAAAACAGCTTATTGACTAAATGAGCATGTTTGTGGAATGTGTCTGCTTCCCATGGATAAGTCTTTTTGGCTGAAAAAGGGAAAGTCCCAAACTCAAAAAGATTTCAGTTTGGAAACTCAGTTCCTGTAAAACAGTGTGACCCAGAATTGCCATGTCATGTGGCTTTCCCTATCAAGCCTGCCCTTGGACCACAGATGGGGAAAAAGATTTACTGGGTCCCTGGAACTGCTTCCTGCTGCAACAATGTTCCCATCACATAATCCAGCTTCAGACCATTTAGGTTTCTGGCCTTTACTCCTCCATACAAAAGGTTACTCCAGCACTTGACCAGGTTTTAAATATTTGTATTCTACTCTAAAATTATTCACAAGCCACAGATGCCAGTTTGACTTTTTCCAAATTTGTTCCATACATTACAACTCTCTCCTCTCTCTGGTGTCTCCTATACTGTAGCAGCAAGCAATCATATTTGTTTCCAGTCTTCATTTTCCAACATCAAGCTGAATTTTCTCCTCTCTATTTCATCCTGCTAGTTCTTTTCTGCACTTGTCATCATTTAAATTAACCTCTTATGAAGCAGGACTGAACACAGTACTGCAGGTGAGCTTATGCCAATACCTCAAACAGCAGAACTGATCTTTCTTTGATTCAGCTGGAAACACACCACATCACAGATCCTAGTATTTTCATCACAGTTCATTATCAGGCTACAGCTAAAGCAGATCTTGGCCTTTCCGCTAAAGAAAAGGGTAGGAGCAGCGATCATCTGGCCAGAATGTCAGGGTGCTGTGGTGGGGCAATTTCAGACTTGAAATAATAGTTTTTCAGCCAAAATGGTGTGTGCTAACATTTTCCAAAAAAAAAAAAATCTGAAGAAAAAAAATTTTTTCCTGCTAAGACTCTGCTGAGCTCTAGATCTCTCCTTGGTACTAGCTTTCAGGACGCTGAACAAACAGTAAAGAAGTCTGTAAAACCCAGAAACCCCGACAAAGACAAATTTACAAAATCTCATGTGACTGAGTTTTGCTTGGCTTCAGGATGCACAATTTCCAACCAAAACAGGTTTGTTTACAGGTTGCTTTCTGAAGACCGTTTGAGCTGGCTTCAGCTGGGATTGCTGACTTTTATGGTAAATCAACTTGTCAAATGCCATTCACTCACAAAGTGATTATTTTACACACTTGGTAAATGCCTGATAAATTAAAAATATAACTAAAAAAACTTGTAGGGCAATGACAGCCACCACAAGATCTTCCTTCTTATCCTCTGCAGAGCATCTGGGGGGGCACAATATGGCCTCAGAGATTTAACACACAGGATGACGTTTGCTCTCCTCATGGGCAATGACAAACCCCTCATAGACCAGAGATTCCTAAAGCAGAGTCAGATTAAATGCAAGTGTTATATGTTTGCACCACAGAGCTTAAGTGGAAGTTCCCTCATGAGTGGATTGTCTCCAGTGTCCAAATCCTGTCATGTAGGCTTCTCTGCTCATACAAATTAATGGGCAGGATCCTTTCCCTGCATCAGACGTGGCTCTCTCCAGTCAGGTACTCAGAGCCTTTATTTGTTATTTACACAGACTTGTATTGTCAAGGCAACAAAATACCAAATGTACAGAAGTTTTATTTAGGCCCAGCCTACATATTTCTCTTCTATTGATCACACTTCATTTTACCCTGCAATAAGGGACGTGTGATTTGTGTTACCTGTGAGATTAAGCTCACACACATAAAAAATGAAATTTCCAGGAGGAAAAAAATTAACCTGGTCTGCTGCATGTAGTTGGTCACCAAAAGATGAACATTTTTGATATGTAATATTGGAGATATTTCCTTTACCAAAATATGATAGCAAAAAAAAAAACCCCAAAACATTTATTGTCCTCAAACTTTTTTCTTCTCTTTCCTATTTATCTCCCTGGGGAATCCTGGAAACTCTTGCCTACTTTCTGACAATTGCCTGGAGTGACTGGAACTCTTGAAATAGGAGCATCCCAAACACTGGGCTGTGTTGCAACCATTTCACAAAGTCTAGGCCAGATTCAAGAGCTTGGATCCTCTTTTCAATTGACTTAAGCCTAAATCTTAGGCTAAGGCTGTCTCATTACCATGTGTTAGCTGAGCTCACACAATGTTGCCCAGTTCACAGCCAGATTCCAGTGGGGTCTCAATCTGTCTAAATCTAAGGTTCTGGACTGCTCTGGGTACAGAGAAGTAGCCAGACATAGAAGCTGGATTGTGCTGGTGTTCTAGGCCAGGAAACACAGGCTGAAATTTTTGAGGGTTTTTGCATAGGATAGATATCCCATTAATATCCTTAGAAGTGTGTCTGAACATCTTTGGAATTGTGTTGACATCCCACTAATACCCTCAGAATTGTGTCTGAACAGCAACACAAGCTCCCACACTCTTGTCCCATGGGGATTCTAGATATCTTTAAGCATGCTGCAGTCCTGCCAGCTGCTGCCTGGATTTGCCTGGTTTTAAAAATGTGTGCAGGTTTCACCAAGCATAATTTTTAAAACCATGTAGCTCACTGTGGGATAGAATAAAAATGCTATTCTCTTTTCTTTTACAGATGTTGTTCTTTAACAATTTAATTGCTAAGGTTGACTGACAATCTGAGGTGGGGGCTGAGATGGGAAGAGAAAGAAGGGATGAACATTTCTTATTTGCTTGTAAAGCTCGTTACTATTCTCACAGGGTTTCCAATGAAGTCTTTTTATTCTACTGTAGGCTTGTTATGTTTTTTGGCACTCTGATCTTCCCGTGTCTCCGTATTTCAACTGCTTCCTGTGTTTCTGAGTTCATTATAAAATGTCTTAGTAGCTGATATTGGGTAAAAAACACAACTATAACTTTTGGAACACAGCTCTAAGTTGGAGGACCACATACATCACCCAGCCTAAGCACTAACCACACTGAAATATGTCTGTCTCAGAAGTGGGGTAGGTGTATTAAAATGTGTGTGCTCAAAGTCAGACACCCACAAACAATGAGCATATTGAGACTGGCAGGGCAGCACTGTGCCCACGGTACAGTTCTTCTGGCAGTGCTTTTCTGGTTTTCTTGCTTGGTTTTAACTAATAGATCTGATCCAAAACTTACCAGCAGTCCATGAAATTAAATGAAATTTAGGTTTCCCCTGGTAAGATGGGATTGAACTATGGCAAGCAGATTTCTTTAATTGGTTGGCACAATGCTGGGATGGAGACACTTTCTACACCAAGCAAAACTCTTTGGAATGCAGTTCTGCTGAGATTTTAGCAAGAGGACATGCCTTATGCATCCCTGCTGCTTGGTTCGTTGTGAAACCGCGGGTTACCCTCGGCCACGAAGTGTAATTTCCTTTTGCTGCCTTGCACCCATCCCCTTTTGCCACAAGATGGAGATGTAAGCCCGAGTTTAGGCCAGGTATGAAAATGCTGCTTTCCCTCCAGGAATGAATCTCTATGATCCTTGCCCACTCAGGGACCTCCTTTTATTGCTATTGTTTGGAACCTGCATACTGGCAAGATACATTAATTTTTAAATAATTTGCTATTATTGAGGGATGTTTGGGTCTGAAAAAAGAATGTTTCTTAGCTCTGTTGAAATTAAAACATCTCTGTAATGTAGTTTGCCACAAACCATTTGAGCTGCTTGCAACTCCATGTCTAATTTTAAAACATTGCAGCAACAGTAAGAGGCAAACCTCTCTCTAAAAATACCTGCGTGTCACTAAGTAGAGATTAGTGTGCTAATGATTAGTCAGACAATAGCTGACTATTGATTTAGTCAGCTAAATCATTTCTACACTTATACAACCTGCTTTATTCTTGGTTTTTAACTTCAAGAGTCATCAAATACCCACAAAGGTTCTGTCCCAATTGGCCAAGGGAAGAAATTCAGGCTAAAATGTGGCCCGGGCAGGTCCTTGCCCTGCAGATCTGATGTTTAGCTGGCAGTGGTGGTAGCTTGGCTGAAATGATTAACAGGCTCCGTTTCATAACACAGCAATGGGCAGCCTCTGAAAGGTTTTGGTAGAAAATACATCACACACATATTTATTTTCTCTAAGTTACTGTAGTGAAGCCTCCCATTCCTTCTGAGCTAAAGGCAAGTGTTTAGCAGGCTCAGCCCTTCATTTAGCCAGCATTTACTTAGGCCTTGCACACATATAGGGGTGATGAAAGGGGCCTGAGCACACAAAATCCCATCTTTCATCATCCATGTTATGAGGCGATACATCCTTTCATCACCAGTTTGGGACAACTGCTGTCTTTGTGAATAGCTGTAATCACTCTCACTGGTTTGCTCCAGGATGTGGGAGGCCTAGAGAGACCAAACACTGCAGCACTTAGATGAAATTTGTGTTTAGAGTTACCTGGAGGGGAAGGAAGGCAAAATAGGTGAGTGAGGAGAGGAAGAAAATGAAACTTCAAGTACCAGAAGCCATAAACCTTAAAAAAACTCTCTCTCCCACCCTGAAACTATTATATCAAAATGTAGGTACTGGACATTTTTCATTGTTGACCTACAATAAAAAATAATTTATTTATAAATCCTTTCTCCTATTTATCACCACTGATTATTTCTGTGCTTTCTTTTGCAGTGCAGTTTATATGATGAAGTACTTGTCATTCAGTGTTCTGTTTTCAGAGGAGTCACATGTAGTAATGAATGCCCCCAACAAATATTGACTTTTTCTAAAGGAAATTTTGCATAAATAAAATGGGTTGTCATAGATAATGTTGAGCAGCAGAACATTATTCAAGGGCTGGTAAAACTCAAAATTGTGTTTCAAGAACAACAATTTGGTTTTTTACTTTGGAATCGTAACTTTCATATAAGATTTCTCTTTCTCCTACATCCTCCCCACCTTGAAGGGCAAAGGTGCTGTGAAGACATTAAAAATTCAACCTGCCGTTTCTGTAGGGTTTACAGTGGAAAAGAGTCACACAACAAATCCCTGCTCCATCTTTCAGTAAAAGAGCGCTCAAAAATGCTGGTTTAATTTTCTGTCCTCCATCTGCTGGCCAGTGGATTTTGGTGTTTCTTCATTTGGACAACACAATGAAGGGAAAATGAGATAGTTTCTAGTCCCTTCGCTGTCTGATTTTCAGGTGGAAGTGCAAGGTAGACACGTATTTTTTCACAAAAGCAACAAAACCCTCCAAAATTAATACTAGTTTTACATATTTAAGATGTTTAATCCACTTACAAGAACAACATCCTGGGGAAAGTCATCCTTATTCTGACTCCAAAACCCAGTGTATTTTGGTCTAGTGCCACTGAAGGGCAGGCATTATCATTAAGAAGCAACAGTCCACAGAAAACCGATCAAATTGCAGCTGCCAGGTGAGAAGGCACATTTTGCCTGGCGAAGTTAGTTTGTTTGAATATTTGTTTATTTTGTGTCCTCCAGCACTGGTTACCCAGGAGACCAGGATGCAGGACCGTGCTGCTAGCCCCAACTACTGGCAGGCTGAGCCTAAGTGCTGGTGTGTCTTTGCTCCCCTCTTTCTTTGCAACAAAGGCGTAGGCTGCATTACAGAGAAGTAAAATCCTCAGGAGCAGTCTGGCTGTCAGACAGCTTGCATTGCATTTAGGCAGAAATTGTGTAACATGCTTTATGCTTTTACTCTCCCACATAAGTTTAACAACCATGGTGGTTTTTACTATGGCTTCATGAAGGCATAGCAATTTGCCCAGGCAAAAATTGATTGCTTTGTTGTAGTTTTGATTTGGGGAGATGAGAGATTTCTCTGTTGTGCTACAAGCCAGAAGCTGGTGTGGCAGCAGCAGCTCCTGCTCTCGGTATTCTATTGCTGTTTTAAAAATCCAGTTTTTCCCAGATCATAACCTAAATTATCACACAGTCGTACGATGCTACTGTTTTTACAGAAAAATTGCTGAGATCACCAAATCTGCAAATTTCAATTTACATAGACATGTTTAAATTTGCAATTAGGTACACCTGAAGAAACTTGGTATTATTTGAAATAATTTTATAATTAGCATGACTGCCTCCATCTCATTGATTCAGTAGGCTGGTAACCCTGCTGCCTAAACTATACATTAATTTGGACTCAGGTATTTGATAGCTATTTATTTTTCCTTGGTTCCTTACCATTATAGCTGTATTTCAGAGTCTAAGCAGTTCAGTAATACTTCAATACTTCACATAGACGTCTTGATTGAAGTAAATCACATGCTTTTTATTGCATGCCTTTTAATTTTCTTTAAAAAAAGGTGTCTTGTCATTGCTTTTTGGATGAGAAGTTCTGGTTAGTTACTTGATGAAGACAAACCTGTCAGCCAGATCATAGAATTACAGAATAGCCCAGGTTGGAAAGGACCTCTAGATCACCTAGTTTTAATTCCCCTGCCATGGACAGGGACACCTTCCACTAGACCAGGTTGCTCAGAGCTCCACCCAACCTGGACCTAAACACTGTATGCAGCCTGTTCCAGCGCATCACCACCCCCACAGTAAAGAGTTTTTTCCTAATATGTAATCTAAACCTACTCTGACGTGTTAGTTTGGCAATTTTGAGCTGCTCTTGCATGTTTCTTGATTTCTTGATTTGTCTCCTTCTGTCACCTGCAGCTGTCAGGTCTTACACTATGCAGGTCACTCGAGTATGCCCCATGCTTAGCTAGGCTGGCCTTCTCGTGAGTGCCCTGGAAGGTCACAGCAAATATCCCGCAGCTGGCTACCTAGGCTAAACAGGAGGAAACAGTAATGTTCAAGGATCCCAGAGCTGGCATAGACACTTCTTTCACTTCTTTTCACCCTGCTTTTATGTGAGCTGTTATGAAATGAGTGCTGAATTCTGATGTTACAATGGAAATGATGAATAATAGTCAGGTTAAGCAACATATGGTATCACAGAGACAAAGGCATTACTCACAGAAATGGTGTGAGGCAGTTCCTTTGAACTTCTAACACTATCCCAGCTGTTCTTTCCCTCCGGGAATGTTGTTTCAACATCTGAGGTTAAATGCCTTATTTGTAAACAAGTGGAAGGGGAAAAAAATATTTTTCTTCCTCTATTGATTCATTGCATGATTTTATTAGCCTGTCCTTTGCAATGTTTTTACATTAGCTTTTAGCAGTTATGTGGAATTAGAGAGTAAATGATGGAGGTGTGTATCTCAGGTAGAGAATATATTCTCTTGGCTCCCCTAAAAAGACAGGCATGTTAAAAAGCCATGGAGCTATTCTTGCACACAGATGATAACAGCATAGTTGAGAACTAAAGGAAACAACTGTGTGGCCCAAGGAAGGTAGGCATGATATGTCACAAAAGCTAGGGATACACAACTGGTGGGTCTCACAGACTTTTCATCAGTCTCTCACAATGCATTTGCTCTGATTTGAGCTCTCGTGGCTCTAGACATAGTTTATGACAAGTTGCATAAATATGCACGCATCCTGCAGTTGTTCTGTTCATGCAGTATAAAATTCCTCAGGAGCAGAAAAGGTTAGAGACAGCTGTTATGCAACACCTTAGCCAGAAAAAATGAAATAGCATTTCAGAGGTACAGAGGTATGCTTTTTTATTGTTGGGTTTTGGGAGTTTTCTGTTTCTCTCTGATAGGTGTGGCTGCTTCTGATTTTTTGTTTTCTAAGGGTTTTCTGAATTGCTTAAAGGAAAACAGTGAGTAGGGTGCAACCTACAGTCAAATACCACAGCAGGTCTTGGCTGATTTCTGTGGTGCCAGAATACTGCTGTTCCCCATTCATCACATCTTTCTTTTGAATCGTCATCCTGAAGGGTGGTGGTTCAGTAAAGGGAGGAGAAGAACATCAGGATATATGGAAACATGTCCCTGTGGGAAGGGTGAAAGGCGCAAGAAGGAATGTATTTACTCCTAGGCTGGGGTTAGGAAAAGTTCAGGCAAATCTTACTCTGCCCTGCACAGGGGTCATTGGCCCCGTGGGGTGCTGATGAGGAAAAGTTGTGAGGGGACAAAGGCATTGAGGAAGTTTCAGTCTGTTTTTGATTCTTCTGCCACACAGGAGATGAGTATGCTGGTCTTCAGCTCTCTCAAGACTTTGAGCAAGTCCAGAAGTGTCTTTATTAACCCAGAGAAAAGTTACCAGCATATCATAGCCCCAAGTGCTCCAGTGACTTAGCAGAAGCGTGACTTTCAAGGCTCTGATTAAGAGATGGTAATGCTTGTCTTCTGGTCTTGGTTTACATAGGATGTTCCTGCTACCTCTCAACATATATTGATGAAACCTTAACACCCGTAGCTTCTGTTTACTGTGGGTTCATGTCTGAACTCTTCACTCCCAAGTGAAGTCTCCAGAGAGCTGCAGTTTCTCATCATTCCCTCTCTGGCTTACGGCTTGAAGCATGCCATTGGTTTTCATGGTGAAGCTGCAATTAGGACTAAGAAGAAAAGAGCAGTCTGTGATCTATGTGAAAAGTACATTAGAGGCTTACAGTAAAGAGGAGGATGGAGGAGGCTGTTACATCAATTCACTTTAAGAGTCCTAAAGTGAAATTAAACCACCAAAATTAACTATCGCTAAGTCTAACTCTGTTGTACACGTGCCAACTTGGAAATTAGTCATTTTGGGTTAGACTGCCTTAGAGAGGAAAACAAAAACTGAGCATGAAGGAGATTGTGATTACAGTTCTTAATAAAATAGAAATTGTGCATGAGAACTCAGATCTGCAGGTAGCATTGTCCTCATCTAGAAGGTTTGATAAAATTTTCTTTTTCCTTCCGTTTACTCTATTTGGACAGACTTCCTTTTGTCCATGTACCAGAAGCGGGTATTTCTGAGAGACACTTTCCAAAGACCTTTGCTCCTATCCCAATGCTAAGGCCCTGCCGAGCAGTGCTTGCATCTGATACAGAAATAAAAATGTGGGTGCTTTTCTTCCACAAACAAACAAACAAAAGTCGAACATTTGAAACACCAGAACTCTACAGTTCTGTTTTGAAATGCACTTTTAATTTCTAAGACAAACACTGCTTCCAGGCTGCGGTGACCGGGAGAAGGGCGACGGGAGTAAATTCTTCTTCCCACCACCACCATGCCGTGACTGCCGGCAGGCGCTAGATGTGAAGGGTGTCCTGCCCTCCACTTTTTGCTTTAACTTTTCACTTCTTTCACCAACGTATCCCTAGATGGACACACACAGGGGGGACGGGGGCTACGCTTGCACTGCTTCACACCTTCCAAACTCAGGCCACGCGTTGCCCCGCGCCGTGCTCCGCAGGGCCCCTGGCAGTGCCATGGCGCAGGAAGGTTTGTTTTCCCTGGCTGCCCGGCTGCGATTCCTCCCGCAGCCCCGCTAACGTTACCGGGCTGAACGCGGCGTCGCGGAGACCCTTCCAGCGGCGGCCCGGCTGTGCCCGAGCCCGGGCTCGCACACGGGCTGAGCGGCTCCTGTCCCTCCCCGCCCGGCACCGGGCTCCGAGCGGCAGCTCCCGGCCCGGGCCCTCGGCGATGCGCAGGGACCGCCCGGTGCAGCCGCCGGGCCCCTGGCCCGGCCGCCATGACCCGGGGAGGCTCCAGGAGGCAGAGCCGCCCCCGCCGAGCCCTCCCGGCCGCTCCGGAGGGAGGCGGGGGAACGACCCCGCTCCCCACGCGGGCCGCGGGGCGGGCCGGGGCGGCGGGCGGCACCTCGGGGCCGCGGCTCTCGCCGGGAGGGGCCCGCCGGGAGCAGCGAGGGCGGGCGGCCGGGGCGGAGCGGGAGCCGAGATGGGGGCCGGGGCGCTGGCCGTACGCGTGAGTAGGGGCTGGCGGCGGGACGGGCTCTGGGACGGGGCGGCGCTGCCGGGGGAGCGGCTGCGGAGCGCGGCCGGGGAGCAGGGGGATGGATGGCGGCTGGAGGAGCCTCCGCCCGCCCGCCCCGCCGGGGTCCGTCGCGGGGCCGGGGGAGGAGAGCCCGGCCTGGGCCCTGCGCCTTCTGCTCGTCCCGAGCGCTCCCCTCCTCTCCCTTCCCTCCCTCTCGGCAGCTCTTGTTTGGGAGAGGTGAAGATTAATAAAGACAATTCCAGCCGGTCTTATTCCTCCCCCCCCATTATTTAAGCCAGAGAGCAACTGCGCTGCCGTGTTCCCCGCGTTAAAGTTCCTAGATGAGCTGTAAAAGTGCGTCCCTGTGGCGTATAAATAGCTTTTCTCCATGTGTCTGGGCGGCACTTTTTGGCGGCATCGTGCAGGGATGATTTAAGTTGCTTTCCCAGTCTTGTGATCACTAACAGTGGCATTAATGTTTGGACACGTTTTCACAGTGTAAAGTCGGCTCTTCCATCTATAAGGCAACTTAACACTGAACTCTTTGTTTGAGGGGATGATTTTATTTTGATTTTGGTTAGATGTGTATTCTGGATAACCGCGTAATTTTTTGTTCTCTAGTTAGCACAGCCTCTCCAGGTCGTGAAACAAGCTCGAAAATTTTCTCAGTTCCCATGTTTCCAGAAACATGGGAAACGTCTGTTGGTTCTCATGCAAATTTAAATAGTGAGTTTCCCCAAGTAAGTCCAGCTCAGTTATTCAGGTTTTCGAATGCTGAAACAGGCTGGAAATGCTGTAACTGAGCAAGACTGTGAGGCTAATTGAAGGCCTTAATTGGAAAAGCTCTCTGAGTATCACAGCTGCTCAGAAACTGCTCAAAGGATTTTTGCTGTCTTCTGAATTTAACCTAGGCTAGATGATTTTTCCCTTGGCGTGTATCTGCCTGGAATAAAAATCATTTATTATTCATTAATCTTGAATGGGAACATGTCTCTTTGAAAGAAATGTGGTATTTTAATGTCGGTCAGATTTTAGTTCAAACACTGGTAAGTGTACTGTTTATCATAAATATTTATAAGGTGGTCACAATAATGCAATGTTGCAATTCTGTTTCACAAATAGTAAAACATATTTATGATGTTTATATAAACAATGTCTTTTGTAAATATTGGGTGTGTTGCATAGGACCTGGGACTGTAGAACACACATGTGCTTCAAATAGCTGTGTTTAATGGAAAAAGCACAGCAAAGTGGGTGAACTGCCATATCATTTTATGTCTGAAAGAAGGACAGTCATGTTTAATAGCAGCACCGATGCAGATGTTCATGTAGCTTACAGGCTACAGTAAAGATATGGACTTACAACTGAAGAGATTTTAAAGTCTTTTTAAAATAAAACATGTATACCATGTTTTATTTTACATACCACTTGCTAAAGTGCCAAGACTTAGTCAAGAGTCTGAGCACATTTTTGTGTTACCATACAGTATTCTCTATGTTTCTACTAGTGATTTGTTAATGAAACACAGTAGGAATAAGTTCATTTTTAAGCACCATGCAAGTGGTGGACAAAGAGCTCGACCTCTGTGGTAGCAGTGGCCCCCATCTCCTGCAGTGTGATCACAACTGTGATGGGTGATGCTGCTGCTCTGCCTTGAACGGTCTTTCCAAATGTCAGTGCTGTAGGCTGATTTAGATTTCTGCCTATTATGGATCCTATAAATTTATCACGTGTTATTTTATTCCTCTGGGTTTTATTGACTGTCTTCCTCTGTTTTCCCTGCCACTGCAACTCAAAACTTTTGAGAACGTTGTGCCTCCAGAAGAACCTATGGGATTAAGGGTTTATTGTGGAGTTGTTTTTCTACTCCCCTTATTATGTGTGATTAGATTACATAGCCCGTTTATAAGCTTAAAACCTCAGTAATTAAATTTCAGACTTAGCAGATACTAAACATAATGTAAAATCTTTCAAAAGGGTCCATCTCACCTGACGGTGGCCAAAATGAATCCCTAATGAATAGCATTTGGAAGAAGGGTGTAGTAAACCTTCCCCAGAGTACTCTCCCTGACAGGCATCCTGGAGACAAGCTGAACTAATGGTGGTGTGTTGGGATTCTTTGTGTTTGTCCGGTTGCTTTTGTAATCCATGTGAACTTCATGAGTTACAGGAGCAGTCTCCTGTGACTCGTAGTTACTCGTTATTCTAGTAACAAGCTTGCCTACAAAAGTCTTTCTCTGTTAACTACAGACTACCTACACGCTTTTCTTGTTCCTTTTCCAGTTTCTTTCTCTGTTAATTTTTCTTTTCCTACTTCACAGATATTTTTCCTATAGATTAAAAGAAAGTAAGACCAAAACCTTTTTCTGGAGCGTAAAAGCCAGTTTTGATACGTGTGCTTATGTTGTGACTGTGCAACCTTCTACAGGAAATGTGACTAATCCACTTTTTTTTCCTCTACTCCTTTAAGCAAAGCAAAACGGCTGTGAGATTGAAGGAGGACATGAAAAAGATAGCTGTGCTTCCACTGAACAAGCAGAGGGACTCAACTTGTCCAAAGGTGTTTGGCGTGAGTCTTCTGGAGCTCCAGCAGCAGGGACTGAGCAAAAACGGTATCCCAATAGTTGTGTGGAATATAGTCGAGTACCTCACTCAACATGGTAAGCTTAGTGGAATCACTTTTGCTTAGTTGCGCTCTTTATGTAAGACTCTTCAAAGGGAAGATATGTCTCTTTTTGTGGTACTAACCACAGGCAAAGAATATTACTGTATATAGTTGCCTTCCTTTTTTCTTTTTTCCTGCTTTGATGCTGAATTTACTTTTTAATATGTTTATAAAGGTAAACTACAGTGTTAAGTAGCAACACACTCTCATAAACAAGATGTTCAGTTTATAAATAGAATGTATTCCGTTTGTAAAGGTTTGTGTTGCTTTCTAGTTGCAAAACATTTGTCTTTAACAGTTTTTGACAGTGAGAAGATGTAGGTATCTATACAGAGGTATTCACAGATACCCCCCTCTCCTCCCCCCAATCAGAGAACATTACTGAAAAGAAGTACATGTTCTTACTGGTTTTCAGATAGATTCTAGTTATGAATCCCCTCAAGGAGGTAGGTGTTCAATTCTTAGCTCCTCTTTGCACTCATTTAATGGGACTTTACTTCTTGTTGTTGAAATAAATCTTGCAGAAATCTAGAGCACCACTGATGCACAGATGTATTCTGTGGCGCTTGGTCAGCAATGGAAAAGGTTTTGTGGAGATAATTTCATCTTGTGAGAAGTTGCATCTGGTTTTACCCTAAGGTTTTTCTTCTAGCTACTCAGTAATGATAATCCAATTGCAGAGCCTTAGATTCCATGACAGTATCTTGATAAATCCTCAGAAACTGATAGATGCAATCATGGCTTGAAAGTTAGCTTGGGTTAGGGTACAGTGCAAATTTAAAACGTGGTCCTACCTTTACACAGCAGCATCTTGCTTGATCTATTTCAACTTGCCTTAAAGTGGTTTGCTAGAACACTGAAAGAGCAAGGATGGAAAAAGTTTTGCATCAGTTAGGATTTAATCAAAACCAGAAGCTGACAAACGCTCTTGACTGCAAGTTGTGGGCTGCACTCTGTGTTCCATAAAAAGATCAGAATCCCACACAACTGTGTCCCAAATATGGACTAAACAAGCCAAGTTTTCTACTCTGCAGCTAGATTAGCTGGGCTTCTGAATGCCAAGTTGATTATCAGTCCCAATAAAGATACAATCCATTCTCCTTCTCAAAAGCTCAAGCTAGATCTCAAAGACATTCTCTTACATGGGAAGAAGTTCTTGAAATGAGCGTCCTGTGCCTGTATAAGGTTTGTTTTGTGAATTAATGGCAAAGTTAACTGTGAAGACGTTTTTAACAGAGGGCCAGAGAACCAGTCTGAGCTGACTGTTGGGCAGGTACATCCTTGAACTAAGTTTGCATTAAGCTGCCTATTTCCAAATTTATAGATGAAGTGAAATTTCCCTCTTCTGTATTTAGCACTGTCTGATTGCTGTTATCAGGATGTTCTAGCCTCTCTTTATTTCTATAAATGACTGAGGAAGAGGAAAGGAAGTTTGATCTGTATTCTTTGCTCACTCAGTGCTGCAAAAATGAAAATCATGACTGAGATGAGGTGTTTTCTGCCCTCGAGATGGCAGCACAGCATGCCACATAAAAATGGATTTCATTGTGAATACAGGAATACAAATTCTGTCAGCACTATTTCATAGTAGTCGAGTAAAATGTTTGAGTGCTTGTCCATTTTTTTCCCCTTACTAGAACCATTTGTCTTCTGGTCCAATAAAAGAGATTATTTTTCTCTACAAACTCTGCTGCATTAGAATTGACTTCCTGGACTGGAAACATTCTGTTAAGATTGCTGTTTCATGATGTCTAGTCTGAACTGATGAAAACCATATATATTTTGATCCTTTTAGTGTTATATTTCTGAAGAAGAACAAGCAGGAATATAGACAGTATTAGAAAAGGCAGAATGTTTGTGGTGAAAGTGTTCTAGAGGAAAATTAATT